GACGAAGGCGGAATTCTTCTCGACAGTGCTCTCACTGTCACGCTGCATATTGCGAGGGGCACAATGCTTTTCAGGTATGTGAAGACCTCATTCACAAAGTTGTCCTGACCAGTGTTCCATGTGTAGGGTGACTGGTATCGACGTGGGTAACGCACTTGGCTTTTTAATAACCAGATTCGCTGACGCGCACTACTGCTCGTATGGTTAGACCTGTGGTAATGGTACTGATCGCTGACAGGATTTCTGTACTGACCCCAAACACTTCGCCCGATTACAATTTTTTTGGAATACGGCATTTCTCACATCCTCGTACTTCCACTGAGCAGCTTTCAGGGCTTTTAATTTTTGTTGAAACTCGAGAGCTTACAAGGGAACCCCAACAGGTCGATCCGAGGGATAGTGAGATGTACATATATGGACGTGCCTTGAGCCGCTGAATCCAAATCTGCCCTCCGAGTTTGCGGAACGATTCTTTGAAGGGAGTTACGGACCATTCAATCTTTCGCTGTTTGCACAAGTTGAGAACGATAACTGGATAAACGCACTGCTTCAGAGATGGATAAACGCACTGCTTCAGAAAGCTCGCATGTTGGAACCCTCGGCTTACAAAAATTTTTGCTTTTGTTCAAAACACTTGATATGAGCCCCCAGAGAACTTCGGCTTGGCCATTTTACCTAGTTCTTTGATTATTTGCCAATCTAAGGCGGCTCTTATCTCCGTCTTTTATCTCTTATCCATTCTCAATTTTGCTCACCTAGATTTGAAAACTTCTTATCCTTTGGTACTCGGCTGGGTTCTTCGATGCTCATCTTGGTGAGTTCTGTTTTGAACTGCATCACGGTTCAAATGAGGTTTTGGTGGTTCAAGTGGTAGTTCACATGTTTATTGGTAACACATAGCACATACAGCATGACTACAATCATTAAAACGACAAGCATAAACATATGAGGTTAAGCTACTAGCATATTCGTGTCAAGTGCAAGTTAAGTTGTGTTATCTTGTGTTCTTCTTCAGACGATAGCGGGTCCGCAGTGTCTTGTGTCTCGTCTCTTGTGTTGGCACATCGTGTTCGTTCTCATTTCTGTGTGCTCGTAGTGATCGGGAACTGCTGTGGAAGCGTGGAGCTGCGAAAGGAGCGTAACTGCAAGGAGAAACTGTGAAGAACTACGAAGAGAAAAGGAACTGACTGAACTGCCTGGCGGCACTCAGCGCGCTACCCTTATAGCCCTGATTGTGGGCGTAATAAATACTGGCTTGAGGTGGGCGGTGCCAAGGCCTCCTATTGGGTGGTTGTAGGCGTGAGCGAGCTTTCTAGAAAGTGTGCATTTGCGACGAGAAGTTTTAGAAATTGCAAGTACATAAAATGCCGTTGGCATCCTCCCCGCCGCCCGAAGAATTGCATCTGTAAAAGTGTAATTTTTGTTGCGTTTTATGTGTTTTTTTTGGTAGTAGTGTCCGGATTCACATTCTAGAGTAATACAGTATAGAACAGTACAGTAATAATAGTGAGAAGATGCTGCTATCTCTGAGCTTCATCCAAAATACTCTTGAACAGTGTGCTCGAAGCTCTTGACTTGTTTAACAACTTTATTGGTTTATTGGCAAACTTTCGGCATATAATGCCTTCGTCAGGCCTTAAATTACAATTTCAAACATATAATAGCTACAACGAGCAATGCGCAAAACTCTTACATACCAGGCCTTGGGAGGGACGGGCCTATCGGCGGGGTCTCATTTGGGTGTCTAAGGGTACGGTGCCTTGAGAAGCTACTTCGTGGGTAAGCTGCGGGGTTGTTCAACGCTCTTCTATGCTCGTCCAGACGATTCCTCAAAGGTCGCGCGGACGGACCTATCGGCGGGGTGTCAGGGCAAAAATTGACCACGCACTATGACAATGAGACAAATGGGTGGCGGTGATTGTGCGATGATCTCAGAAGGTCACGTAGCTCCTCTTTCGCATTGATCTCTGGCTTGAGGAGGTGTATCTCCCGAGCTTCCATTATTTTCCTCTGGAGCGAGGTCCGTACGAAATGCGATGCAACACACTCACATCAAAGGACGGAGCGGTCCCATTTGGGTGTCTAAGGGTACGGCGCCTTGAGAAGCCACTTCGTGGGTAAGCTGCGGGGTTGTTCAACGCTCTTCTATCTCGTCCAGACGATTCTAGCTGTCTTATCCCTTCTTGAAGAACACCAAGATCACGTCTCTACAATGGGATTCTATATACGAAATAAAGAACTCTCATTAAAGTTGCGCTGGAATGCAAACATTTTCTGCTTCGACAACAAGATCTACAAGCAGAAACGAGCTTAGCCATGTGTAATCGAATAGCACCGCGTGGGTTAGCAGTCATCTCTTTGACCACATTGAGAAGTCATCATTGTCAAGTGGAATATTGTTTTATAAACGTTACATTGATGACGTGTTTGTTTTTGGAGAAAGGAGAGACGATCTTGTGGAGACCTTGGAGAGACTGAATTCACACGACAGGAACATAACCTTCACCAGAGAAGATCCAGGGCGGACGGCTTTTTGCCGTTTCTCAATACGAAAGTTCGGATAAGTGAAGGTCGAAAGGAACACCTGTGTGGATAATAGAAAGAAGCCTCGTCGAATATACTGTTGCATTCCAGAAGTGCACACCCGATATATATGAAGGCAAACGTCGTGCGTAACTTGGTCAGAACAAAGAAGGTGGGGACGCGTAGGGATTCAGATGTGGACACGAAGGTCCAGAACATCCTTGAAAGCAACGAATATGTCGAAGTGCCTTTCAGGACCTGGTACCCACATACGTCACCTGATGGAATAACCTTAATGATGCCTTTCGTTAACGACAAAATGGCACGTCAGGTGAACCGCGTCGTGAAGTACTCCCAGCTTCGCCATTCGTCTCGTTTTTCGCCTCCCCCCAACCCTGAAAACCCTCCTCACGTCCTCAAGAATTTATGAAATCGGTGCCGCGATGAATCTTGCCGGTACTGTTCTCCGAAATATTTGTGATTTTCAAGGCACTGTTTATCTCATTCAATGCAGAGGATGTGGAGAAACGTACGTGGGGGAGACTGCGCGACCTTTTGAGGAATCGTCTGGACGAGCATAGAAGAGCGTTGAAAAACCCCGCCAGCTTACCCACGAAGAGCTTCTCAAGGCACCGTACCCTTAGACACCCAGATGAGACCGCTCCGTCTTTTGATGTGGAGTGTGTTTGCATCGCCATTGTAGCGGCCGCTTCAGAGGAAAATAATGGAAGCTCGGGAGATACACGCCTCAAGCCAGAGATCAATGCGAAAGAGGAGCTACGTGACCTTCTGAGACTCATCGCATAATCACCGCCACCCATTTGTCTCATTGCCATAGGTGCGGGTCACTTATTGCTCTGACACCCGCCGATAGGTCCGTCCCTCTCAAGGCCTGGTATGTAAGGTTTAACGCATTGCTCGGTGTAGCTATTATATGTTGGAATTGTAATTTAAGGCCATGACGAAGGCAATTATATGCCGAAAGCTGCCATAAAGTTGTTAAAACAAGTTAAGAGCTTTCGGAACACTGTTCAAGAGTAATAATAGTATAAAATAGTACAGTTATAATACTATAAAGTAGTACAGTAATACAATAGAACCTACAATACGAGAAGGAGGAAAAAAAGGAAAAAATTGATGCTACCGTAGCAGGCTTGATGACGTTGTTAGCCGATTTCGTTGACTGTGGATTGCCGAAGTGCAGAACGCTGGTGGTGTTGTAATGGTAGTGATATGGTAGATCACTGACTGAACAGACGTGAAGAGCCGAGTAGTCGTAGTGGTAGACGAAGAAGTCGTGTTGTGAAGGAAAGGAGCTGCTTGAAGACCACGATTATGAAGATAATGAGTTGGAGGGGAGGAAAAATTGATGCGATTGTAATCGTATGCGAAGATCCTCTTGATGTTTTTGGTGTCTGTGAGCAAAGGAGTCGATGGCTAACCATTAAAGCGCTGGTGAGAAGAAGAAGGGTTGTCACTAAGTGGATGAGAAATTGTTTGCAAGTGTTGCGGAAGTGGGAGGAGTCTGGCAGAGCCAGCTCGAAGTTAATAGACGAATTGTCAGTAAGTGTGTCGTTGTTCCATAAGCGAATATAATTCCACAAAGGCTGTATGCCGTTGATGTAGTTAAGGGTACCTTGTAATTCAAATATGGTGATGTGTGCATCGCACTGTGCTTTGCAAGATTCATTTGTTCGGGCTTTTCAAAAAATAGACGCACATAGTTGGAGGTACCCGATGGACTGCAAGTCAATGTGAATGTCCGTTGTCCACAATTGACTTGTGCAATGGACTGGGAAGTGTCAGATTTACAAAGAATTGTAGCTAGGGAACCTTTCACGCAATTGTAGCATCCGAGAAAATGTTGCGGAAGAATAAGGTACTGAAAATCTTGTATTTCTTGCCTGACATTGGATGTTTTGGGATTTAGGGTGAGCATAAGGTCGACGGATATAGCGTTTGTCCTTACGGTAGGTATGTTGTTGAGGCCTTCGGTGGATACTAGGCCGTTTGGTATAGGAAGGGGAAGAGTACTGGAAAGTTGGGTGATGTGGGAAACGTTATTGTTGGTGTAGTAACAGGTGACGAAATCTTCAGCAGGGTTGCATCTACAGGTACCTTTAATAAGGGAATCATGAGTGTGAGTGTCGTTATGTAGTTTAGTTGGGTTGGAGTTGCATGCGTAGCTGAATTCGGTTTCTGTGTGAAGATACGCTGTTATCTGCTTATTGCTGAGAAACCGTTGATGAAGGATGGAGAGTGGTGTAGAATAAATGCTTGTAATTTCAAATGCTGTGTTTGCAATGCGTTTTTTAGTATAGGGTTCTAGCTCAATATTTTTCGATATACGGCTAGTGCCTTGAGTCCACATTGGTCGATATGGTCTGGAACCAAGATGGGCATTGAAACACTTCGTAGACATTGTCGTCGAGGAGTATATGATATATGCGATAGAAGAGGACTGATGATGGGTAACCTCAAGAGCAGCTTAATCCACCGCAGGATTCGGTGCAGTAGGTAATGCCTGTGTAGTTATTAGCTTCGTCGAGTTCGTCGACGAGGGTGTCGTAATTGATTTTTGCGTATTTCTGACCAGTACATGTGCCCATATGGGGGCAGCGCTTTCGATACTGCATGCGAGTGATGGTGTTTTGAGTTAAGTACAGTGTTTCTTTACGACAACGGAGGATTAACGCGTTAAGCGAGATCCGCATAAAATGGATGCGGTGATCACCTTGTTGTACTTGTATGCACATTTCAGGTTGCAGTTGATTGAGTTGTAGTAGTAATGTAGTTTGGTTGCGGCAGTTGTGTTTGGATGTGTCACATTGCATAATGTTGCTGGTAGTAAAACGTTTGTTGACAGCTTAATACCAGGGGTATGATGGATGTTACAATTGTGATCAATTTAATGAGTGTGGTAGTATTCCAGTTGGTGTTTACACTATCGAGTTCGATTAAAAGAGTGTAATCATTAGAATCATGACGTGTTCTACGTTTCTGTCTTGTAACGTTACCGTGGGACAGGAGGGAGGGGATATTTCTGCAGAGGCAGTTGAACGTACGTGCCGTCTTCTTGATTAAAGCGAAACTTATGTATAGGGTAACTGCGATTATATAGAATAGTATGGCCGTTACTGCAATGGCAATTCGTGGCCAACACTCAAGATTCGAACCCATCTGTGAGCAAAAATTGCATGTGATTTGTTCGCAAAATGGGCTGGGTGGACATACCCAGTGAAAAGCTTGTCGTATTGTCTATGACTGATTTAGGGGTTACATGATAGGTATGAAGCCTTTCTTCGGGTGGGAATTGAATGTTCATATTCTGGTCGGGTTCCTGCATTTCAATACAATAATCGTTTCCGCATACTTGTATTTGCTGTGCGGGCTGTGAAAGTTGCATGCGTACTCCGCCTGTGATACACTGTAAATTGATCTTCTGAGTTGGCTGAGTATGAGCCAGTTGAAATAGGGCCAAAGTTAACGATATCGTGAGCCAGTGTTTCCATAATGATTGTTTATGAATGGGTGATGTGCTAGCGGATGGTGGGTGGTTAGAGTTCATGACGCGGGGGAACAGCTGCTGGGTCAGCTGATGGTTTTTGAAGAGGTAAGTGTGTTAGTACCGCACGAATTTTCACATGGTAGGCGGTAAATGTGACAAGCACAAGGGTGTATTGTAGTTGAAGTTCTTTTCAGTATTCTATGTGTAATCGTTCAATAAAATTTGTGAAAGGAAATTGTGTGGAAGTATTCTAACCTCGTCATCCGGGCAGTTGATTAGGGCGGTCGTCAGCGGGCCGCAGCGCGTGCCAGGAACTATTTGCTTTTCCAGGCTAATTTAGTCATTTTTTCCACCTTGTGAAGATAAGGAGCTGCTAATCTGGGAAAAAGTAGCCAAAACAGTGAAAAGTTGGAAAAAATGACTAAATTCGTCTAGAAAAAGCAAATAGTTCCTGGCACGCGCTGCGGCCCGTTGACGACCGCCCTAATTAACTGCCCGGATGACGAGGGTATGTGTAATCGTTCAATGAAATTTGTGAAAGGAAATTGTGTGGAAGTTGATATTTGAATCATTTGCGAGCGTGCCTTGTTGTGAGTCGTGTAGTTTGATAT